AATCTGGCCCCTCAATACATATTGCTCATAGTTTGATGTCAGTGATTTGTTCTCTAGCAGAAGTTTTCCAGTGGATTACGTTAAAAATGTCAGTCCGTTTCTTAAAAAAGTTAGTATTTAAGAAGACTTGAAATATAGTGCATAATAAGTTGTATAAACTACTTTTAGGATCCATTTAATTATATTTGGAGCTTGATAGAATCTGTCAGTTGTATTAATATCTTAATCTTAAATATCTTTTTTTGGCTGTGTGTGTGTTGGTGAACTACCTCAACTAAGAAGTACAGACGAATGCAACTGAGAGTTACGTTTTCATTTTTCTTTTATTGTCAGAGTTATATCTGCCTCACTCAGAAAAAGAAAGCAAAGGAATCCATTTCCTCTGGGGAACGACACACACATCAAGCTATTTCTTCAGCCAAGACTACAATATTTGAACAACTCACTCTCTGGCAGCTCATGCATTAATATAATGCATGCCATGACATTAGCTATGAAGATTTCACCAGAAACACCTCCATCAGTGTGCTCTATGGTTTATTCATCAGTCTCATGAAATAAATACGCTTTACATTTGTTTCAGCTCTCCCATCAATTGGTTGAACTTACACGCTCATTGATTTGTATATTTCAGCATAACAAAACAAAAGTTGCTTGGAAATTAGTGTTGGATGTGTGTGTATGCTATTTTGTCTTGGTAGCAAGGTTATTTTCGTAAACGAAAACTAAGACTAAGACTAAAACGATTGATGAAATAAACAATTTCGTAAACTGAAATAAAATAAAAACGTCAAAATAATTGAAAAACTAAAACGAAACGAAACTAACAACAGTTATTGAAAAACTAACTGAAATAAAATGTATCAAAAATAAATAATCGTTTTCGTAATCATTACGTTCTCATCCCTTGGCGGAAAAATATACGAGCTGTGTGGAGGTTTAGGGAAATAGCCTGCCTACCAGTAATGGTGCATCACGCACATGGGGTTATCTGACGGAGAGACGTAAAGCTGTTTAAAGCCTGCACGCAGGGCCGTTTCTAGCCAATTTGACGCCCTAGGCGAAAT